AGGTTAAAAGCAACAAAAAAGGCTTTTATGGGTATGTTCGTAGCAAAAGGAAGAACAAAGAAACCGTGGGGTCACTCAGAGGAGAAGATGGTGAAATGCAAACAGGGGACACAGAAAGGGCTGAACTCCTCAATGCCTTCTTTGCCTCAGTCTTCTCCGATAAAGAAAACAATGCCCGACCTGAAGAATTTGGAGCAAATGATTCAGCAGAGGAAACACAGCCCAGAATAACTAAGGAGATAGTACAAGAATACTTGGCTAGTCTAGATGTATTCAAGTCTCCAGGGCCAGATGAACTGCATCCAAGAGTATTAAAAGAACTGGCAGATGTGATTTCAGAACCACTGGCAGTCATCTTTGAGAATTCCTGGAGAACAGGCGAAGTCCCAGCAGACTGGAGGAGGGCAAATGTTGTCCCTATTTTCAAAAAGGGGAAAAGAGAGGACCCAAATAATTACCGCCCAGTCAGTCTGACATCAATACCAGGGAAGATTCTGGAGCAGATCATTAAGCAAACAGTCTGTGAGCACCTAGAAAGGAATGCTGTGATCACCAATAGTCAGCATGGATTTCTGAAAAATAAGTCATGTCAGACTAACCTGATCTCGTTTTTTGACAGAATTACAAGCCTGGTAGATGAAGGGAACGCAGTGGATGTAGTCTACCTTGATTTCAGCAAGGCATTTGACAAGGTGCCCCATGATATTCTTGTAAAGAAGCTGGTAAAATGCGGTCTTGACTATGCTACCACTCAGTGGATTTGTAACTGGCTGACTGACCGAACCCAAAGGGTGCTCATCAATGGTTCCTCTTCATCCTGGAGAAGAGTGACTAGTGGGGTGCCACAGGGTTCTGTCTTGGGCCCGGTCTTATTCAACATCTTTATCAACGACTTGGATGATGGACTCAAGGGCATCCTGATCAAATTTGCAGATGACACCAAACTGGGAGGGGTGGCTAACACCCCAGAGGACAGGATCACACTTCAAAACGACCTTGACAGATTAGAGAACTGGGCCAAAACAAACAAGATGAATTTTAACAGGGAGAAATGTAAAGTATTGCACTTGGGCAAAAAAAATGAGAGGCACAAATACAAGATGGGTGACACCTGGCTTGAGAGCAGTACATGTGAAAAGGATCTAGGAGTCTTGGTTGACCACAAACTTGACATGAGCCAACAGTGTGACGCGGCAGCTAAAAAAGCCAATGCAATTCTGGGCTGCATCAATAGGAGTATAGTATCTAGATCCAGGGAAGTAATAGTGCCACTGTATTCTGCTCTGGTCAGACCTCACCTGGAGTACTGTGTCCAGTTTTGGGCACCACAGTTCAAGAAGGACACTGACAAACTGGAACGTGTCCAGAGGAGGGCAACCAAAATGGTCAAAGGCCTGGAAACGATGCCTTATGAGGAACGGCTAAGGGAGCTGGGCATGTTTAGCCTGGAGAAGAGGAGGTTAAGGGGTGATATGATAGCCATGTTCAAATATATAAAAGGATGTCACATAGAGGAGGGAGAAAGGCTGTTTTCTGCTGCTCCAGAGAGGCGGACACGGAGCAATGGATCCAAAATACAAGAAAGAAGATTCCACCTAAGCATTAGGAAGAACTTCCTGACAGTAAGAGCTGTTCGACAGTGGAATTTGCTGCCAAGGAGTGTGGTGGAGTCTCCTCCTTTGGAGGTCTTTAAGCAGAGGCTTGACAACCACATGTCAGGAGTGCTCTGATGGTGTTTCCTGCTTGGCAGGGGGTTGGACTCGATGGCCCTTGTGGTCTCTTCCAACTCTATGATTCTATGATTCTATGATTCTATGAATCCAACGTCTTGTCAGGAGGGGGAGACACCCATGACTCTTCACCAGCCTGGCTCATGTCTGCCTCTTGGCCTCCCTCATCCGACTCTCCTGCTTCAGCTTCTGCCTCTGAGTCTGGACTTATTTCTGCCACAGACTCCCCCAGCTCACAAAGCCCTGTTACCTCTTCAGCTTCCAGCACCTCCTCTTCCCAGTCTTCTTTCTCTAAGCACTCATTGTTGTCCCACCACCACTCCGCAGGTTCTGAGCTTTCTTCCATTGGGGGTTCCCCCAGCAGGGTCCTCCCACCATTCCTTTGCCTCCAGCCAGTCCATGACACCAATGGTCAAGACTGATGGTCAAGAGCTATAGTTCAGAAACTCCTGGGAGCAACAAGATCCATTTTTCACTGAGGGTGGGGGAAAGACCACACATACCACCTTGCATTCCTGGGAGAAAGGAGGGAAAGAAAGCTGATAAATGACATTTCATCCAATCCCATTGTGGGTTTCCCCTTCTCCCCCCAGCTGGGGGGCTGCGTGACCCCTGGGCCACCTCCAGCTACCTCTCACCCTCCCGCTCTTAAGGGCACAGAGTAGGGCAGATGGCCTCCCATTATGGCTGCCTCTGCCTCTCCAGCAGTCAGCCACACCCTCTCTCCCTTGCCAGCTGGCTGCTCCTGGAAAGGACTCCACAGCCCTTGGGTGCAAATACTGAAGCCAAGATATTTGTGGCAAGGAGTAGTCATGATGAATTCCAATTAAAAACAAAGCCAAAATAAAGACAAGGAACCCTTTTAAGCTTTGCCCCAGGCAGGGCACTTCTCTCCTGCCCCACAAATAACTTGCTGACAGTTTTGGAAAGGATCTCCAACACGACATGTGTGAGAGGCAGACCCAAGTCTGTTCCTTCACTATGCAGAGTTTACATTCCCCTTCTCACGCACAGCAGAAATCTGGTTGCTGGCTTGTTAGAACCTCTTACTATTATGCAATTCAATCTCCCTCAGATTGAATTGTATGTTCCTGGTAAGATCCCCTTTTGAATCCCTCGTAAAAGAATAAAGACACCACAGTCTTATTCATACTCAATAAAAATAAAGTTTACTCACGATCAGGCAGAGCACAGCGTGATCCCTGAAGGCAGACTTTTGGCTTAAAGTTACAAACTTATACTAACAGGTTTATCCCATAAGACAGATGACCTGGGGGACTGCTTGGCTGGCAGCCAGCAGCTCATTCCAGGAAGTTCGCAGGACAAACAGAAGATGGAAGAAAGGGAGAGAGTGGCAGCATGCCTTGTCCTTTTGCCAGGTCTGGAAAGGTCACACCCACCCGCTAGTCCCATGCAAGGAAGGATGCTCCAGGCCAGGAGGAACAGGAAGTTGCGACTGGCTGGACCAAACATTCCCTTCCATGTCCACTCTAGCAAAACAAGGACTGTTGTATTTGACTGCTCCCAGTGGATTACATCCCATAAATAGCTGCCCTCCCACCTCCCAGTTGCTTTTAACCTTCCAGCCTATTTTGGCAGTCTGAGGTAGCTAGCCAATACTCTGCAGATTTCTCATGCCCCATATGCTTGTGGTTTCTGTTTAGCTTGGTGGGCAGACTGGCACAGCAAGACAGGAAGCTGCCTTATATGGAGGCAGACCATTGATCTATCTAGCTCAGTATTGTCTACACCTGGAATGGGGCACCTGTGGTCCTCCAGCATCCTACAACTCCCAGCATCCTTTCTTGCATCAGAAGAGCCTGCTGGATCCAGTCAATGGCCCATCCAGTCCCGCATCCTGTTCTCCAAGTGATCACCCAGATCCCTCCCCTCTGGAGTGATGGTGCCTTTGACAGGCACTGGATTCCAGTCTGATTTGTGAAGGGAAGAGAAATGGTTGGCTTGGTTGATCAAACACCCTGTAAGATGGCCAGTCTGACTACTAGGCAAAGAGAGACAGCTGATTTTAGTCTTGAAAGGGTAGCAAGCATTTATTATCCCCGTGTTGCAAGGCAGGTGCTGAATATAATGGAACAGCTGCTTGTTGCATCATCCAGGTGAGCTCTGATGCGATTTCAGCCTGGGTCATGGCATGCTGATGCAGCCCAATCCGATGCATTTCAACTCACAAACAAGTCCTGCTGAGTTACTCTCAAGTAACTATGCTTAGGATCACAGCCTCCCCTACACTAGACGTGTGCCAAGGACCAAAGCCACTGTCTCCCCTCCCTGCTCCCTGTCGCCCAACTGGGTTTGGCCTTGGATCATGTGCCCAGTGGCCTGTTCACACAGAGAGAACAATTTCCTTCCTAGGGAGGAACTGGAATACTCTGCAAGGCATTTTGGGTCTTTCCTGACTGTGGCTTCCGTACACTTCTAAATTTCTACAAAAGAAAAACAAAACAGGCATGCCTTTTAGCATTCCACCCCCTCTACAATCTGAAAGCAGGGGGGCTCTCTGCCCACAGCCTTGCCTGTTGAAAGCAGCAGAACTCTGCACCTGCTCAGGGGCCCTCTGACCCGCAGACCTGCCAGTGGAAGGAAACTTAACTCTGCACCCTCTCTTTTCTTCACGATGTTCCAGAGTTGAGCCCATTCATTGAAAAGAGATGCTTAGGGGGCGGGCAGCCGAGGGGGGCCCTCCTCCTCTTCCCCCTGCGGCGAGCACAGAGAGAGCCCCTGCCAGATGGGCAGGTGGTGGTGGGCAGGAGCCGCCCCCTGCTTAGCCCAGGCAGAGCCGCATCTGCATCGATTCAGATCCCATCCCGCCGCCCCCTCCCGCCGCTGCTGAGCGGTTAGTGGCCGCGCGGGGAGCATCTGAGCTGGGCAGACGCGCCACCGCAGCGGCATCAGCAGCAGCAGCGGCGGCAGCAACCCCCCCCCCCCCCACTGCAGCGGCGGAGGCGGAGGCGCCCTACCTGCCCGCAGCCCGCCTCGCTTCGCCTGCGCAGGTGGCCCGTCGGAGCCGCCGCCTCGCCGGAGCCGGCATGCCGGGGGCCAGCTCGCCGGGCGGGCCGCCGGGAAGCGCGCACTGAAGCCCAGCGGCCGGAGCGCGCCCAGCCCTCGCGCCCCGCTGCGCGCCATCCTCCGCGCCCGGGCCGCCTTGCCCCTCGCCTCCCGAGCTCCTGGCGCGCCGCGCCCGCCTCCTGCCGCAGCCGCAGCAGCCTCTCCTCCGGCCGCGGCGCCGCTTCCCCTCCCGCGCGGCCGGACTGCAGTGGCCGCCGCCGCGTCGGCGTCGTCTGGGGCCGTCCTGGTCCTGGTCCGGGGCCGGTGCGGCGGCTGCTCGCCATGGCGCAGGCGGCCAAGCAGCTCAAGAAGATCAAAGACATCGAGGCGCAGGCCTTGCAGGAGCAGAAGGAGAAGGAGGAGACCAACCGCAAGCGCAGGAACCGCTCGCGGGACCGCAAGAAAAAGGTGCGCAGGGCCCGGGCGCGCGCGGGGCGGCGGCGAGGGGAGGGCTGGGGCAGGTGGAACCCCCTCCTGCAGATCCCGGGGGCGCGGGTGGGTCTCCAGCCCGTGGGGAGTAGCTTCTCCCGGGCAAGTTTCTTTGGCGTGGCGGTGTTTTCCGGCTTTGGGATCAGGCGTCGCCGAGCGCGCACTGGCTTTTGATCCGCCGCCTCTCCCTGGCCGCGCAGGTTTCCAGGCGCGCCGGACAGTGGAGCCCCGGGAAGGTCCTGGCTAGGGTAGAAGAGGGGCTGCGGTGGTGGGGACCTCTCCGCCCTCCACCCGCCTGTCCGAACATCTAGCCTTCTCTTGCCTCTAGTCTGGCGCCCAGTGGGCGAAGATACCCACAGCTTAGAAGTCCCCATCTCCCGCCAAGCGCGGGGCCTGCGCTGCAGCTCCTGGGGGCTCCGTCTTCCCTTTCCAGGGACCCCGAAGCCCGACTTGGGAGGCTGCAGACGGACTAGTCCAGCCTTCCCCAGCTTGGTGCCCTCCAGCTGGCGGGGGCTGAGGGGAGGAGGCGGGGACCAGGTCCCAGGAGCCATAAAGCAGCTTGGGGACCCTTCCCGGTAGTTCCTTTGGCAGGTTCTGGACTCCTCCTGGCTTTGGTCCATTTCGCCCGTGCTGGATGTTGTGCTTCTCCTCTTGCCCCTTTCTGCTCGTTCGTATATTTCCAGACGCTGCTGTTCTGAAGGACTCCAGGGGTGGGAACTGGCAAGACTAGTGCCTCTCCAAATGGTGCCGGACTCCACTTCCCATCATGCTGACCATTGGCTAGTCTGACTGGGGCTGATGGGAGCTGGAGTCCCGCAAGGTCTGGAGGTCCACAGGTTTGCCTGGAGTCCTTTGTTCGCCTGGGCACGGGGCAAGACCTGCTCGCCTGTTGTTCTTTCAGTGGCCGCCCGAAAGTCGCCTGAGACGGCATCAGACCATTGGTCCATCTAGCTCAGTATTTCCGACACAGACTGGCAGCAGCTCTTCAGGGTTTCCCAGCAATACCTGGAAATGCCCGCTAGGGATTGACCCTGGGACCTTCTGCCTCTGAGCTCCAGCCCTTCTCCTGCAGCATGAATCAGGCAGCTTAACCCGCCCCCCCCCTTGGCATCTGGTCTTCAATGGTATATTTCCTCTGTGCACTGAAGCTCCATTGAACTATTATTGGCTAATAGATAGCTTTATGTGTTTCTCATTCACAAACTTACTTACTCCTAATTATATGGCAATGGGGGCGGGGAGGGCTTTTGCTGGGGGCTCCAAATGCCAGGTATCCCATGATTAAACCTGAGACTGCATTTCTTTCCCTTTCCCTTTGTAGGAAGCTGTTCTTCCCGTTTCAGCTTAAGGAGATTGAATTCCCTTCTTTTGGAGGGGAAGTGAAATGATAGTTCCGCCCCCTTTAAAGGGCCAGCTGATGTTCATAATGCAGTATTCAGAGGTGAGATGAGGTGGCCCCTGGGGCAATGGATTTTAGGTGCTGTTATTAGAATACCCCCCCCCCCTCTCCATGTGCAGGTGTCATTGGGAGGGGCCGTAGCTCAATGGCCGAGCATTTGCTCTACACACAGAAGGTCCCAGATGCATCCATTCATGGCCTTGAGATTCTGGAGAGCTGATGCCAGCAGCCATTGTAGGGGTCTAGACAATCTAAGTTAGATGGACCAAAGGTCCAGCTCTGTGCCACACAGGCTTATATATAAATGAACAGGAGCTGCTCCTGTTCCTTTCCGTTTCCGGGTGGATTATGACCCATGCTAATTAGTATGTGAGGCTGATGCCATTTGAATTTCCAGCTGATGCCTTAGCCTGGCCCTTGCAGAAATGTCCCTGCCAGGGATGTCCGCTAGCTTTTGAGTTGCACAGAATTGTTCCTCGGCCTGAAGAGAGTGGATGTGGGGAAAAGGAGGATGCAATCTTTGCCTGAAGTTTGTTTCAGTCTTAAGATGGTCTTATCCTTGCTGGGAAACATCCATTCCCGCCTCCCTCTCTTTTTGAGATCATCCAGGAAGAGGATGAATTTTTTGTAATCCGAAGCTTGCATCCCACAGTGTGAATACTGGTTGATTCTTATTAAAAGTATTTTAAATCACACTGATTTTGGGCATCGTGGGTCAACACAGCTATCTCATTTTGATCATAGCAGGAATCTAACAAAGTTACTTTAAGAATGAAATACTCTGGATGAAGACAGGGCTTTGAATTCAGTGTTTATATGCATCAGAAGTCTATGAAGATAATTTGTGTGAACAAGCTGTATTATAGCAAGTTTCTATATACACAGTCTCCTGGTCACCTATGGGGAGTCATAATCTTATACAGGCAAACAGACTTTTTTTTTTAATGGCAAAGAAATCAGTCTCTTTCTACCTGGTGATACATTGCAAATGGCTAATGGGTGTGTGTGGGCAAACAGGCTAGGAATAAAACAAACCCTATAGGCTAGCAGCAGTTTTGTAGTTGTATAGGCAATGACCAATTTATGCATGTCCAACTGAAATGTAAGCCCACATGCAAGCATCACGCTGAACCCAGAAGAGAGATGCCTGGAGGTCTATGCATGGAGCATACATACAGAAAGGGAGAAAGGTTACAGTTGGTTTTCTTTGTTTCACTAGGTCCCACGTTTTGGAGTCTAGAGGGCCTGGAACCTCATTTCACCCAGTTCTTTCATTCATGCTTAACACCTGAGGCCTGCAGCATCAAGCAGCCTTTTTGCAAAAAGAATGGTCCGTCGCAGTCAAAGACCACCCGCAGAACTTTCATTACCATCTCATGTGTGCTTTTAAAGGAGTCTGTTCACACAGCCAGTGGCAAATAGCCAAGTAGTGAGAAATCAGGTGATATGTGTGTTTGCATCCATGTGTCCATGCATGTTTTGAGGATAAAAACCATTTCATCCATCCTCTGCAATATTGCCTTATAGACTTCCTCCAGCAATTAGATGCTGCCTGAGAAAATGTGAAACATCTTGGTTAAATAGTTCATCATGTCAGTAAAGGGTAGGGAGTATATTTTCTCAGTCTGGGCTCCTTTATTCAGCCTGTTCCTCTCTTTTTAATGTCACTTTTAGGGGCAAAAAGTCATCCTGAAGCAAGCATATGTGATTAAGATCCAATGCAACCTTACATTTTGAAATAAATAATAAAAGCCAGCACTAAATTAATAAAACCCATCCTGCCTGGAGGTACAAAAATCCAGAACAAAAATTTGGTCAAGATCAAAAGCAATCCCCTAAAACAGGTTTGCCAAAGGCAGGCACACAGGTGCAGACAGAAAGCCCTTTGGGTGCTGCAGATTAGCTTGGTTAGTTTATTCAGAGGGTTAATGTACTCTTTTCTTCATTTTGCGCCATTTTGGGTTGGAGCACGTTAGCCAGTTTTCAGGTTTAATTTTTTAGGTTATAAATCATACATAATATAGGAACATGAATGTCAATTTATATCCTCTTGCCATATATTCATGTTATATTATATTCAGTATTAGCAGCCTATGCAACACGCTGACTTGGCTGGCTTGAGTCTTCGGACTTAAACCAGACACACAAATTGGTCTTTAATGCAAAATAGAATATGAAAACATGGGAAAGAAGATCTACATCCTGATCTCCATTCTTGGGCACCACACATAGGAAAGGCCATAGCTCAGCAAGCGCTGAGCACCTGCGCTGCCTGCAGACGCCCCAGGTGGGGCTCGGAAGGTGCCCTGCCTGAAAACCGGTCAGTGTCAGCAGTCCTGGGCTCAGTGGATCAATGCTCTCCCTGAGGATTGAGGCGGCTTCCAAGGCTCCATGTCAGGGTTTGCCCAGGAAATTTGCTGCCTGAGGCAGAACTGCAGCTTGTTTCTCCCCACCAACCAGATCAAGGCGCCTGGGTCTTAAGGTGGGTCAGGCTGCTTTAGCAACTTGAGGCAGAACATCCTACAAGTGCCTCTCAACAGTATCACCATCACCATATTATTATTTCATATAGCTAATATAAATTTCTAAAATCTTGCTGCCATTTCATGACACCCAACCACTTACCTGAGGCCACCACCTCATTTTGGGTTGGAGCACGTTCCTTGCTTATGTCTATTGACAAACAAGGCCTTGGTGCGGAGGCAGGGTTTTGGAGGGCCATGGCAAAGCTTATTTGACTCCTGCCAGCTTCTGGGTTCTTTGAAGTTCTCGTCTTTGCTTCTGTTTTGTTGCTATGAGTTCCAGTGACTAATTTCCCAATCACTGTTACACTATTCCTTCTTTTCCATTTCGTTCTATGAGTCTTAAGAGGGAAGGAAGCACAGCACCCACTTCTCTGCTGGGCTGTGTTCCATACATACAGTTGATGTAGGTGTAGAAAAAGAACAGTTAAGAAAGACCACAATTTTTCATTAACAGATTGGGAATAGTGTAGAGAAGCACAAAGCAGATGTGGTGGGAAAGACTCTTCCATTGTTTTAGAACTCACCTAAGTAAATTGATGAACAGAAGAGAAATTTAAATGACATATAGGAGGGCTAGTCTAGAGTAGCTGATTTTAGCCATGGTATCTAAATAGAGCTTCCATGGTCAGATGCACTCTACCATTTGCTGGGTGAAAGAATTGCCAAGAGGCTACTGCATGTGAGCTTCGCATAAACAGCTGGTCGGTCACTGGTTGGAGTAGGCAATGGTTATTTTTATTTTATTTATTTGCAGATATGTAAACCCATTTCCATAATTATTCCCTAAAATGACTGGTCACACTTCAGGGAAAGCCCTCTTAAATGCAAATGTCTCCAATAGGCTTCTAGATCACTAGGCACTTGCCTAATTTCAGATGGTAGCTGATTCCAGAGGGCTGGAGCTGCAACACTAAAAGCCTGATTTCTAGTGCATATTAAGTATAGTTAGGCAGACCGTTGGCTCTAACCACCAGGACTACCAGTTGGGTAGCTTCTAAGAGCTGCATTCCTTCTGTTGATTAAAGGCTGATTCGCACAACCAGTGTTTCAGTCAT